GCAGATTGTGGTGGGGGGGGGGGGGGGGGGGGGGGGCACGCTTGTGTTGATCTCACAAGGGTGTCTCCGTTGGTGGGGTTTGGTAATGGAGAGTTCAAGGTTGGGCATGCAGCGGATAGAGCAGCAGAAGCAAAGGTGGGCAAACATGATCAAACTTACAAGGACAACCACCACAGCTTCATCCCGTTCGCTTTCGATACGTTTGGTTTCCTTACAGCTGATGCGATGGAGTTCCTCATGAGGGTACATAAATTCATGAATAATAATGTGGCGACAACAGGGCTCGCTGAGTACGTGTTTCGTAGTTTGGGTTTTGTAATTCAGAAAGGATTAGCGGCGCAGCTTGTTGCCCGCTTGTCATCATCACATGTGTAATATTTTTCAGTTTTATTGTTAAAAATTATTAAACAAAAGGAAAAAGAAAAGAAAAGAAAGTTACAAAACATTTATACAAAATAAATTAGTAGAATTTGATCCAAAGATGAATCCAACTAATTGTGGTGGATATGCATAAAAGTACGATGTGTATACAAATAATCAGAGAATAGGTAAAGATTCCTGCAACATGGACAGAGTAACTAACTGACTCAAATTTAAAATCCCTCCCAAGTCAACAACTGCCATCAAGCATCCTGGAGTAGTTGAGGCAGGTAAGGAAAAAAACAATGCAGAGAAAAAAAACCATAGGCCTTATTCCTACTTCCTAAACAAATAATCCCTCCCAAAATGCCAATAATTTCCTCTTCCCTTCAGCCTTCTTCTTGAATCATGAAGCCCTCAATCCCAAACCTCAATCAAAAAATGGAGTACCTGAATCCGATCAAGAACAAGCTGAGCTCCATCATGCTCTGCTTATTAGCCCTCTCTACAATCTTCATTCTCTTCATCTTTTATTCATCCAGCCCTTTCAGCATCATCAACCAGGACCCTCCCATCTTGGATCATAACAAGATGTCCACCTTCAATTCATCGACCCTCAATCATACCGACGAGAGCGCAATTTCGTTGCCGCCGAGTTCTTCAGAACCCGCAGACGTACAGAAAGAAAACCCTATCGATCAAGACACAGAGCTCAGCACGCCAATCAAAATCAAGAGAACCCCGAAGCTTCAACTTCTTCGGAGTCTTCAGTCGCGGAAGGATCCACTGACAACTCGACGGACATCCAGAAGGGCGACGTTCAGAATCAGAGCGTTCTCGACGTGACGACAAGATCTTCGCAAGAACCCAATGGTCAAGCCAAGGACGCAACGTCTCAGGGTTCCTCAGAATCCGTCAGCGTCCGGCAAGAAAAGCGTGCTAGCCAAAACCGAGGAAATCACGATTCCGTGCCGTCGACCTCGCAATGCGATCTGTTCTCAGGGAAGTGGGTGAGGGATGAGAGGGGGAGCATATACACGAACGAGACATGCAGGACGCTTCCGGCTGCGAGGAATTGTGGGAGGTACGGGAAGGAACAGGGGCATGTCTACTGGAGATGGAAGCCTGATGGGTGCGAGCTGCCGATGTTTGATCCCGAGTTGTTTCTGAGCATTGCAAGAGGGAAGAAGCTTATGTTTATCGGTGATTCGCTAGCGAGGAACATGATGGAGTCGTTGCTGTGTCTCCTCTCTCAGGTACAAAAACTTCTGCATTTTGTTTTCTCGGAATTACGTGATTTAGACCCCCCTGCTAAAACTTCGTAAATCATAATGGTGAACGACTTCATTGTCCATTGTGATTAATTTAAAATTGTGGGTTAGTTAGGGACTGATTATGGTTCAAGGACAAGATCCGTTTTGTGCTAAAGGCTGCCTCAGCCCTCGACTTTAAAAAGGCTCCACTTTTTAGACTTCATGTAGAATTGTGAATGTAGGCAAATTACAATTATCCAAATTATTCAGTGTATAGAAACAGCGCTACCGTGGTATGCGGATTTGAATCCTTTTTTCTATCAAAAAGTAGCGAAGATATATCACGACTTACTTTTTATCGTAGTTGTTGACTTGTCTAGTGAATGTTTTTGATTTATTTTTTAGCATAAATTAGTGTTAGCGTCTGTGGCTAAATCTGTAATAAAACAGTGATAACTAAAATGATGCAATTTAAAACTTTTTTTAAATTTAGCTGCTGTGCGTTTATGAAATGCTGTGCTTAAAGCAATATTTGGCCTACTTTTCCCAAGGCCAAACTGTTTTCAAGAACAACAGTACAATATTCTGGTGTGCAACGATCCAGTACTGTTAATATATCCTCGATCTATAAGACCTTTCGGTCAAGGCAAAGATCTCCTCAATCTGTTAAAACCTTTCGGCTCAATAACCTTTCGGTTCAGGCAGAGATCTCATCGATCTGTTAAAACCTTTCGGTTCAATAATCTTTCGGTTCAGGCAAAGATCTTTCAATCTGTAAATTTTTTTTTGGTTCAGAGCTATGTTCCTTCGGGCACAGACTAAGGCTTTCACGCTTTCAGACCCTGCAGTAGCAGCACAACAGTACAAAATAGTTGTGTACTTTTTGTATCTCTTTTTTATCTATTGTATCCAAGAGCTCCCCAAGAGACGCTATATATGCCTTCAAGACCAGCTCAAAAGCCATCCACATTTAATTTGACCGTTACAAACATAATAATAATTATGATAATTATATTTATACAACAAATAACATAAATGTTATAACTGCTGCATGCAGTAATGTCTGAACGCGAGGGTCGCGGTCCTGCGCAACAAGAGGGTCGCTCCCTCATGCGAACCCGAGGCTCGTCCGCATGCTGCGAAGTAGATTGTGAGGCAGTCCTGCGTGGCAGCCAACGTGGCGCCAAAGGGCACCACCTAGCTCCGATGCCTTCGTGCGAAGTACAAAGCGCGCCTAACAAAGTGTCACTTAGCGCCTCAACCCGATTAATCCCGATCCCCGGCTCATTGGCCCACGGCCCACAAGCCCACGAGCTCACGGCCCATGACCTACTAGAACTTATGATTGATTAATTAAATAAAAATAATTCTCGGCTTGCCGTTGGCAAGCCTCTAACACAGGACCTTTGAGATATCGAAACATTAACTTTTCGCTATGCTACTAAGGATTTCTGAAAAATATCAGTAGTTAATAAATACATAGTTTGAAAAATAATTTTTGAAAAGCGATTTTGACCAAAAATATCCAACAATCCCCTACAAGTTTTTAAACTAGTATCGTGTAATGGTGTCGTTGTTTCAATCGTTGTGCATAAGGAAGATGTTTGCAAGGACTTGAATCCCTCTTATACTAACTGAATAAAAAATAGATGCATGGTGTTGTAGAGCCTTGAACCAGCACATGTCTAAAATTCAGCGATCACACAAGATCAAACTCATCTGTGGTAGGTTTGACTTTGAACCACACTTGTCTTTGCCTTTGCTTTAGCCATGCACATTTATGGCCCTGTGTATGTCCTGGTTTTAGCTAGGGCTCTAGGTATCTTTCCACAAGACACCATAGGAGACGACCAAATCTCCACCCAGGTATAGGTGAGTTTTTTAGACATGTTTTCTATCAAACATCTCACATCCGAGATGCTTTGAACTCATTAAGGCTTAAAACTCAACTTCTCACATGATAGGATTTTAGGTGAGTCCTTTAGGTGTGTTTCCTATCTAACACCCCGTATCCGAAATACTTTGGACTCATTAAGGCTTAACAGCCATCCTTTTTACATGATATGATCATCAGTGAGTCCTTTAGGCATGTTACCTATCCAACAGCCCGCATCCGAAATGCTTTGGACTCATTAAGGCTTAACAGCCATCCTCTTCACCATGATAGGATTTTACTTGTAAATCTTGCTTAACTTTTGAACCAATCATATTATTATTAGTAGCGTAAGCTTTGAACTAATAACTTGATGTAAATGATAAGTATTTGTAAGACTCACCAAACTTTATAAATCTTACTTGACTTTTGAACTAATTATCTTATTATTAATAGCATAAGCTTTGAACTAATAACTTGATGTACATGGTAAGTATTTGTAAGACTCACAAAACTTTGAGACCCATTTTAGCAGATGTCCTTTTGACTATGTCCTTTTTCAGACCCTTAGTCAAATGATCAGCCACATTCTCTGAAGACAGGACGTCAATCACAGAGATGACTCCTTGGCAAATGAGTTCTCTCAAATAGCCATGTTTCAGATGAATGATCCGTTTCTTTCCATTGAACATTGAGTTTGCTTCCACAACACTCTACGCCTGATTATCATAATAGATAGTAATTGTGCCTTAAAATTCTACCAATAGAAGGTCTCGAAGAAAATAACTGAGCCATTCAGCTTCATCTCCTGCAGCACAGAGTGCGAAGAACTCAGATTCCATCATGACTATGCAATCATAGTCTGTTTCTTAGACTTCCACGAGACGGCAGCTCCACCCATAGTGAAGAAAAATCCTCCAGTAGATCTCACTTATCTGGTTCTGAGCACCAGCTCGCATCTGAATAGCTTTCAATTACAGCAGGATATCCAGTGTATAACATGTACAGACCTGTAGTTCCTTTCAAGTATCTCATCAATCTCTAAACATCATCCTAATGAAGCTTTTTAGGATTACTTGTGAACCTCCTAAGCATTCCTACAATGAATGCTATGTCTGGCCTTGTACAGCTCCTCGTGTACATAAGACTCCTAATGATCTTTGAGTATCTTAACTGCTCTACTGGTCTTCCAATGTTCGGTCGAAGCTTCTTGTTATAATCATACGGTACTGACAGTTCTGGTAGGTCGTAGTAGCCATACTTTCTTAGCATGCTCTCAACATAATAAGATTGAGACAATCCAATACCCTCTTCAGAGTATATGATTTTGATTTTGAGAATTATGTCTGTAGTTCTAAGGTCCTTTATGCTGAACTGTGCTGAAAGAAATTTCTTGGTAGATATTACTATCTCTAAATTACTTCCGATGATGAGCATATCATCCACATAGAGGTAGATAACCACCATTTTTCCTTCAGCGACCTTGATTTATATGCACTTGTTAGATTCATTGACTTGATACCCATTGTTGCACAACCCATCGAACTTCTCATACCAGAGTTTCAGTGTCTGCTTAAGTTCATATAGAGACTTAACAAGTTTACAAACTTTACCAGCTAGAGCATCAAGTCCTTCTGGTATCTCCGTGTAGATCTCTTCTGTGAGATCTCCATTGAGAAAGATGGTCCTCACATCCATCTGATGTATGACAAACCTTTTTATTGCCGCCCTTGCGATAAGCACTCTGATAATAGTGATACTACAAACTGGTATATATATATCAAAGAAATCTATTCCTTCTTTCTGAGAGAATCCTTTCGTCACTAGTCTTGCTTTGTACTTCTTAATAGTACCATCAGGACGAAACTTTTTCTTAAAGATCTACTTACAACTGATAGGCCTTGCACATTCAGGTACATTCACCAGCTCCTAAGTATCATTTTGGATTAATGAATCCATCTCATCATCTATAGCTTTTTTTCATAGAGGAACGTCTGTTGACTGTATTACTTCTTGAAAAGTCTGTGGATCTCCTTCCATATTATAGGTGATGGAGTCATATCCAAAATCTTTCTGTCTCTTAGCACGCTTAGAAGATGATTCAGTAACTTTTTCATCATCGACACCTTCACTTTCTCGCAAAACTAGCTCCTCTAGTGCATCTGACGTACTAACATTCTCTGCTATATCTTTAAGCAATAAACATTTATTTGATAAACTTATCCTTAAAGAATTTTGCATCCCGAGCTTCAATGATGGAGTTGGTTCCAAGGTCCAGGAACCTGTAAGCATCGATGTTTTCTGCAAAGCCAAGAAACACACATTTGTTAGCCTTTGGTCTGAGCTTAGGTCTTCTGATATTTGGAACTCGAACATATGCGAGACACCCCCACACTTTGAGACTATTTAAAAAATCTGAATATCCCAACCATAACTGATGAGGGGTACTATTTTTTTTTAGAATAGGGTACTCAGTTTAGAATCCAGTTTGCCATCAGCAAAACCTCACCCCAATAGCAAGTAGGTAGACCAGATGTGATTATCATCAAATTTACTATCTCGATCAATGTGTGATTCTTCCTTTCTACAATTTTATTAGATCATGGAGAATATATAGCAATAGTTTTAGCAATGATTCCATGCTCCTTGAAGTATGCTTACAATTCCTTAGATTAGTACTCTCCTCCTCTGTCGCTCCTGAGTCTTTTCACCTGAAGTACAAGCTGCTTCTCCACACGACTCTGAAACCGATAAACTTGCTGAAGGTTTTATCTTTAGATTTTAGTAGATAGACGTGATAAAAGTAAGAATGGTCATCAATAAAGGTGATGAAGTATTTCATGCCGCCTCGAGTGACGAAGCTATTGAAGTCACAAGTATCTAAGTGAATCAGATCCAATAGGTTGGTGTTCCTTGTGACACTTGGAAAGGACTTCCTTGTCAGTTTTGCTTGCGCGCAGAATTCACACTTCTCATGTTTGTTACTCTCACATTTTAAAAATAATCCTAACTTCTTCATGCTAGATAATTTTTTATAATTTATATGTCCTAGTCTATTATGCCATAACATAGAGGAGTAAGCAAAAGAGAATATTTTATTAACAACTGAATTGGGTACGATAGTACTAATCTTATACATCCCATCAGTACGATATGCATTTCTAAAATATATTTCCTTAAAAGATAACATAGCCTTTCTTCCTTGAAAATCCAGTCTCATACCTGCATCACACAGCATGCTTCTTGAGACTAAGTTTTTAGCAATTGAGAGAACATGTTTTACATTCTTCAATGTAAAAGTCTTTCCTGAAGAGAGAGTCAGTACCACAGCTCCAATTCTAAGAACAGGAACCACAAAACAACCAGCATGCCATTGATACGTTCTCTTTGGCAGCAATATAAGAAGAGAACAAATCTCTGTTAGAGCAGACATGACAAGTAGTACCTGTGTCTAACCACCAACCAGAGAGGTTGTTTGGAGTTGTCACTTGGAAGAGTATACCCACACAATTATCAACTTGATTAACATTATGTGTTGTTCCCTTCTTTGATGCTTTGCAGTCCTTGGCAAAATGTCATTGCTTCCCACAGTTAAAGTATTTGTCGCTCTTCTTAAAATTTTTCTTTTGAATATTTAGATTCTTTGGGTTTTGGTTCTTCTTTTTGTTAAATGACTTCTTCTTTTTCTTAGAAGAAGAACTAGTACCCTTTTCAGAGTTAGCAACCACCATGTTAGCAGACGCCTTCTGCTTAGCAAGGAGATCATTCTTCGTGCGAGTTCGAGTCTCATTCTTGATTCGAACGAACCTCTTCAAATCAGACATAGTCACCTGTTTTTTCCTTCTTCGAATGTTCGTGGAGAATGACATCCAAGATGGAGGAAGCTTGTTAACAATTATACCAAAAATGACGGTTTGACAAAGATTGATCTTTTTATCCTTCAGCTTCAACAAGCTTTTCAAGCTTTTTGACTTGAGGTAAAACCTCAGTGTCATCTTCGAATTTGAAGTCCAAAAACTTATCAATGAGGTGAGACTTGGACAGCTTCTCATCATCCTTGTATTGGTCCTCCAGAGTATTCCAGATTTTTTTTACAGAGGGCTTATTGGTATAAGCATCTGCCAGATAACCGACCAGGAAGTTAAGGAGATAACTCCTGCAGAAATGATCATCCTTAGCCCAAGAAGCTTCAGACTCAGAATCTTCTTCAAAGTTAGGTTTCTCCTCAGAAACGACATAGTAGATTTTCAAGAGTTACATCCCGAAAATTACTTTTCGACGCCATGCGTAATAGTTGGATCCGTCAAAGTTTTCTAACTTGAGACAGTCCACTCCAAGTGTCCTCGCAAGATCCATTGTAGATCAGAAATATTTCTTTATGATTGTTAGCATCTGTGGCTAAATCTGTAATAAAATAGTGAGAACTGAAATGCTGTAATTTAAAACTTTTTTTAAATTTAGCTGCTGTACGTTTATGAAACGCTGTGCTTAAAATAATATTTGGCCTACTCCGGTGTAAGGATCCCAAGGTCAAACTGCTTTTAGGAACAATAGTACAGTACTTTGGTATGCATCGACCCATTAATGTTAAGATCTTCTCGATCTATAAGACCTTTGGTCAAGGCAAAAATCTCCTTTGTTAAAACATTTCAGTTTAATAACCTTTCGGTTCAGGCAGAGATCTTCTCGATCTGTTAAAACTTTTCGATTCAGGCAAAGATCTTTCGATCTGTAAAAACTTTTTGGTTCAGAGCTATGTTCCTTCGGGCACATACTAAAACTTTTACGCTTTCAAAATTTGCAGCAGCATAACAGTACAAAACACTTGTGTGTTTTTTGTATCTCTTTTTTTATCTCTTATATCCAAGAGCTCCCCAAGAGGTACTATATATAGGCCTCTAAGACCAGCTCAAAGGTCACCCACATTTAATTTGACCGTTACAAACATAATGATAATTATGATAATTATATTTGTAATGTCAAATAACATAAATACTGTAACTGCTGCATGCAGTAACGCCTGAACGCGAGGGTCGCGATCCTGCGCAACACGAGGGTCGCGTCTAGCCTCGCGCGAACGCGAGGGTCGCGTTCCCTCTTGTGAACGCGAGGGTCGCACCCCCATGCAAATGTGAGGCTCGTCTGCATGCTGCGAAGTAGACTTCGTGGCAGATTGCGAGTGCGAAGTGCAAAATGCATCTAACAAAGCCTCACTTAGCGTCTCAACCCGATTAGCCCAGATCCTCGGCCCACGAGGCAATGAGCCCACGGCCCACGAGGCAATGAGCCCACGACCCACTAGAACTTATGAGAGATTAATTAAATAAAAACACAACGGCAAGCCTCGAACACATGACCTTTGAGATATCAAAACTTTAACTTTCCGCTACGCTATTAAGGATTTCTGAAAAATACCAGTAGTTAATAAATACATAGTTTGAAAACTCATTTTCGGAAAGCAGTTTTGACCAAAAATATCCAACAATTAGAAATGAGTGCAATCTACATGGGATATGATGAATGTTACGTTTAGAATGAATTACAACAACGCAGTCGACAAGCTAATGGCTCTGATGAAACAAGTGGTATCTCCACAACCATCTGCTAGTGTAAAGGATCTAAATTCCCATCATAGTATATTATTTATCCTTTTCTAAATTGGTAATGCGAATCTACAACTTCTCTTATATTAAAATTTCCTTCTCCTACACATTCTTTTGGATATTTTCTCCATCTAAACTTATAATGAAAACTTATGGCCTTCCTTATATCATTTGGGGTAATTTGGTTGCTAATGTAGCAACTTATTCCTCAAGTCAAGATCCCTTCACACTGAGAGAATTTTGGTGGAACGTGAAAATTTTTATCAGAAAATCCTATGAAATCTAAACCAAAGAAGGGAAAGCTCATGTGTAAAGTGCTCAGGTGGAAGATCACTTCCATCTTGTGCCATAAATATACAAATTTCAGAAAAGGGTTAATTTAAAAAAAAAACCCCTTAAGTTTGGGTGTTCCGCAAATAATACCCTTAACTTTCAATATTCACTAGACGAAAATATATCATGGATAGTTTGAAGGGGCTTTTCTAAGAACCTCAAAACTTAAGTGGATTTTGCGGCATTCCGAAATTTACGAGGGTTACAAACTTACAGAAACTATCTGCAACTCTATTTTGCAGGCAGAGACTCCAATCAACACCTACAAAGACCCCAAAGACCCTAAAGACAAACACAGAACCTGGTACTTCCCAGCCCACGACTTCACCCTCATGGTAATCTGGACAGAATTCCTGGTCGAAACCAACGAAATAATCATCAACGGAACAGCGACAGACACCTACAACATAAACCTCGATAAACCGAATCCAGTATGGGGCAAAAAACTCAAAGAGCTAAAATATGCAGTTATCAATCACGGCAACTGGTTCACGCGAAAAACATACATTTACAGAAAAAAGAAACTGATAGGCTGCGTACACTGCTATGGCGAGAAAATACCAGGCATAAGTATGTCATCCGCAATCAGAATGGTTATGAAATCTGCGTTCAGGTTCATAAACAAATGCAAAGAATGTGAAGATTTACTTACAGTCATGAGGACATACTCAATGTCGCATTTTGAGCATGGGTCTTGGTTAACTGGGGGATATTGTAATAGGACAGAGCCATTAAGAGAGAGCGAGCTGAACATGGAGAATAAAGCTTGGGAATTCAGGAGGATTCAGATGGAGGAGATGGAGAGAGCGAGGAGAGAAGGGAAGAGGAGAATAGAGCTTATGGACGTCACCAAGGCGATGATGCTGAGGGCGGATGCGCACCCTGGAAGACATTGGTATGCCAAGTCTGCCAGTGATTGCTTGCATTGGTGCTTGCCCGGACCTATTGATATGTGGAGTGAGGTTTTGTTGGAAATTATGAAGAAGAACAGATGATGAGGTTTGATTTGTAAGTTTTGCGTTTGGAAATTGTTTATTTGAACATTTGATCAAGGGAAGGTGCAAACGTGGGTGGAACTTGAAGGTTTTCATAATTTGAAATTTGATTTGTGGAAGATTGTATAGGGAAAATAGAACTTCATTTGATTCTGGTGTAAAAATTTGACTCTTCAAAGCATTTTAACATGATGAAGTTTATGCAGAACTTTTCATGAGTGACATGTAGCGTGCATTTTGCTTCGTCTTATATGATGGTGTATGTTCTTTCCTTTGGTTTGGGAGAGGTGGGGAGCATGGTTCTGATTTGGTGATTTTTTTTTTTAAATTTTGAGAAACATGGTGTGCAACATGCCTATCGTGATTAAATTGCTTGATACATTGCAGCTTGTGACAACAAACTATTGAACAACTTACACTGTACAGATAGAATATGAAGGAAAACTAAATGAAGCAACAAGCGTTCATTGAAGTGACATACATGTAGTTAACCAAGTAAATGAGTTAGAGAAGGGTTGATAACGGGTTTGTCATATTCAAATATGACAAAAATGACAGACGTGGAAGTGGATAAAAATATCAAGTATGGGTTGTGTATAATATTGGGCGCAGAGTCACGCCCTCACGCCGCGGAAACGATATAACCCGAGAGAAAGCTCAGGCTTTTATTGTCACAAAAGCTCAAGTCAACCTTTATATTCCCGTTTCACTAAGGAAAAAAGAACAGAAAGTGAAATATCTCAACAAAGTGAAATATACACTCTTCCTATCATCAGTTCTAGGACTAACTTGTCGAGGGAACCTACAAGCAATAGTTAACATCCAGAAAACAGTAAAGACACGAGATTTACGTGGTTCGACAAATTTGCCTACGTCCACGGAGAAGGGGAAGGGGAGATTCCACTATGACGAGAACACTGACAACTTGTACAATCCACAAGCTCGTCTCAAAAGAAGAAGATTTGATTTTCACCCAAAAGAAATTGACGTCTCTCTTGTAAAATCTCTCCAAAGCTCTCTCCTCAAGATCTCTCTTTTCTAGCCGCCAAAGAAGCCCTTTTTTTCTTCTCACACAAAACCCTAGGAACAATAAGCTCCTATTTATATTAAATCTGGGTCTGCTTTCTCTTCGTGGGCCTGCTCAGGTCCGTTCATAGTTCTCCACCTCGTATATTTTTTGATAAACCTCAAATTTTGGATGAACAATAGAAGAACACCACGAACATCACCAGAGAGATCTGAAACATTAAATCAGGCTAAATCAGGTCAAACCGCTGAGCCACTGTACCGCGGCTGCCTACGTACCCTCCACAGGAATCAAGCTAACCATAGTTCTGCTATTGTTCTCCATATAATCTCCACCTCACCCCATCACCGTCACGAAGGGTCATGCCCTCTTGGACAGTTCAACATGGGGTGATATGAAGTAAGTCCAAGCAATGCTTAAACTTGCTACCTGTGACCATCTTGGTTAACATGTCTACGAGATTCTCATTCGTATGCACCTTCATGAGAGAAATATGGCCTTCCTCTATGATATCCCGTACGAAATGATACCTCATCGATATGCTTGGTACAAGCATGATGAACTTGATTCTTCGCCAAGTGAATCACATTCTGACTGTCGCACCATAAGTTCACGTTCTTCTTCTCAATCCCCAAATCGTCTAGAAGACCCCACAACCATAATGCTTCCTTCACTCCCTCCACTATGGTCATGTACTCGGTCTCTATAGTAGAAAGTGCTACTGTAGCATGTAACATCGATCACCAACTAACTGGAGCCCCATGTATCCTGAATACATAGCCAGTAGTAGATCACCGTCTATCTAGATCACCCGCATAATCTGAGTCTACAAACCCATCAATCTGATATGTATCTCCACCAAAACACAGACCCGTATCAACGATACCCTTCAAATACCTCAGGACCCACTTCACCGCTTCCCAATGCGCCTTTCTCAGATTCGCCATGAATCTACTGACAACACTGACCACATATGAAATATCTGGATGTGTACACACCATTACGTACATCAAGCTGCCAACTGTACTAGCATAAGGTACACGCTCCATGTGTGCCTTCTCTTCCGCTGTAGTGGAAGATTGTTTACCTGAAAGTCTGAAGTGTGGAGCCAATGGAGTCACCATCGACTTAGCACTTTGTATCCCGAACCTCGTGATCACCCGTTCTATGTAGCCCTTCTGACTTAAGAACAATCGCCGATTCGCCCGCTCTCTCCTAATCTTCATACCCAGTATTTTCTTTATAGTACCTATGTCCTTCATCTCGAACTCTTTACCAAGTTGAGATTTCAGCCTATCTATCTCCACCCTGCTATTCGAAGCAATAAGCATGTCATTTACATACAAAAGGAGATAGATATAATCACCTCCACGAAGCTTTCGAATGTAAACACAACAATCATAATCGCTTCAAAAAAACCCATGCTTCAGCATAAAGGAGTCAAATCACTTGTATCACTACCGAGGAGATTGCTTTAGTCTATAGAGTGACTTCCTCAAGCGACATACATGATGCTCCTTATCCTTAACCTTGTAGTCCTCAGGTTGATGCATATAGATCTCTTCATCCAAGTCTCCGTACAAGAAGGTCGTCTTTATATCGAGTTGCTCCAGCCCAAGATTACCATGAGCAACAATACTCAATAGCACCCGAATAGAAGTGTGTTTTACCACCGGAGAAAATCTCATTATAATCCACACTCTCTCTTTGTGCAAACCCCTTAACCACTAGGCTCGCCTTGTACATTGTACCATTGAGCTCTGAAGGATCTTCCTTTCTCCTATACATACACTTACAACCAATACCTTTTCTTCCTACAGGGAATGGGACCACCTCCTATGTTTGGTTTTTCTGAAGAGATTCCATCTCCTCCTCCATCGCTGCCAACTCTCACTATCTCTATCCCGAATGGTTTTCTTAAAGAAGACCAGCTCATTATCCTCCACCGAGAGTGCATATTCTACCAAATTAACCTGCCCATAGTGCTTTAGGGATTGATCAGCCCCCAGCTTCAGCATCTGCTTGTATGCTCGTCTTGTCTAGTGAAAGCCAAACTATCCTCGAGCTGCTATTGTTGTAGTGCTTGTGTATTCTCTTGCTGAACCTCCTCCTATTCAAGCTCATCATCTACCTGATTTCCTACTTGAACATGACTAGAAACTGGTTGGTCTTTAGGTTCTATCTCAATAATCTGGGACTTTAAAGTCCTAACAATCCCAACACCATCCTTGGGTGCCTTAGCAATCAAGGATTTCTCATCAAAGGTAACATCCCTGCTGATCACGAACTTTGAATCTTCTGTACACCAAAGACGGTAGACTTTTACACCATTTGCATATCGCAAGAATATAGTCTTCTTGCCTTGCGTCAAGCTTTCCCTCGTTGACGTGATAATAGGTGGTACGCCCGAAAATCTGGAGCCTCTCATAATCTGCATGCTCCCCTGATCATACCCTATAGGGCGTATCACCATCCAATATAGAATGTGGCTAACGGTTCATAATATAATAAGCTGTAGACACCGCTTCTGCCTACCATTCCTTGCTCAATCCAGCAAAAGATCGCATACTCATTACTTTCTCCCGTAATGTTCCATTCAGTCTCTCCGCGACCCTATTTTATTGTGGTGTAGATCTGGTTGTCCAGTGTCTAGCAATGCCCTCCTGATCACAGAACTTCTTGCAAGCACCATCTATATATTCTGTACCATTGTCAGATCTTATATCTTTAATTTCTTTCCTATTCTATTTTCAACCATCGCCTTCCACTTCTTAGATGTCTCGAATACCTTATTCTTATGCTTAAGAAAATAAATCCAAGCATACCTCGAATGATCATCTATGAACGAGACAAAATACCTAGAACCACCCTTGGAAGTTGTCTGAGCCGGACCCCACACATCTGTGTGCACATAGACTAATATACATCTGCTCTTGTGATTACTGTTCAAGAATTTAACCCTGTGTGTCTTCCCGTACACAAAATCCTCGCAAAAATCCATGCAATGTTTCTTCAGATTCTTTAGCAAACCCTCCTTACCAAGCAAATCCAGACCCTTCTTTGACATGTGCCCAAGCTGCCTATGCTATAACCATGTGTGCTCACATGGGTCTCCACCATTTCATTTAGTTCCAACCCCTGCATCTCCCATCACTGTCGTACCTAAGAGAGTGTATAAATTATCATGACGAACACCTTTCATCACTACTAGAGAACCCCGAACAACCTTCTTCACTCCGTTCTTTGTAACAATCCTGCAACCACCGGAATCTAATACACCAACTGAGATAAGATTCTTCCGTAAGTCGGGAACGTGCCTCACATCCGTCAAGGTTCAGACCACTCTATCATGCATCTTGATCTTGATATTACCTAGCCCCACCGTTTTACAAGTATGGTTGTTCACCATCAATATGGTTCCACCATTAATGCTTCTGTAGGTAGTAAACCACTTTCTATTTGGGCACATGCAGTAAGAGCAACATGAATCAAGAATCCACTTTCGGAGATATCCTCGCCACCCGTGACGACATAGCATTCCTTCTCGCTCCCTTCCTCAGAAACATAGCTCGCTTCTTCCTTGCCTTCTCTCCTCTCAGTCTTGTTGTTATTCTTCTTCTCACCTACTCTCTTATTTGGACATTCGACCTTGAAATGCCTAACTTTACCTTATTTAAAACACGGTCTTCCCGCAAGAGGTATTGATTTAGATCTAGACTTTCTTCCTTACCTTTTCCTCGCTCATTGCCCCTTCCTCTAGCAAATAATCCCTGTGCATGTTCTTTGTTACCACCAGTAGTCATGTCACTGGTTGTAATCTTCCGAAGATCATATGCTAGAAGCGCCATTCTAGTCTTATCCATCGTCAAATTATCTCCCACAAGCATCAGTATTTGCACTAGGTTCTCATAATACTTTGGCAAAGATAGAAGTAGTAGAAGCACCTGATCCTTGTCTTCAACTATCACGTCTATGTCCTTTAAGTCTGATATGATCCTATAAAACTTGTTGATGTATTCCCGGATTGATGAGCCCTCCTCCATCTTGCAAGTATACAATTTGGATTTTAAATAGATCTGATTCGTTAGACTCTTCGTCATGAAGGTGTTTTCTAACGTCGACCACACGTCCGCAGCCATTTACTCTTCATCTACCAAGAAAGCTATATCCCTTTCAAGGTAAAAGATAATCGATG